TATAGTGGAACTGGGGATTGAATTCAGGCCCTTGTGCTTGCCAGGGAAGCCCTTATTCCACTGAGCCATCTCCCCGGCCCCCCCCTTTTTTTTTTATCTGAGACAGCATCTCACTATGCAGTTCTTGAGCTCACTTTGTAGCCCAGGCTGGTCTTGAACTCAGCCACTACACCTGGCTAGACCCCAAAAACATTAACATTTAATCTTTGTTATTTGTCACAGGGACTTGCTATGCAGCTTGGACTCCTCTTATCTCAGCCTCCCTGGTGGATTATGGCATGGGCTATCATGCCTGGTTTTGGTGGCCAGAATAGCACATCTGAGATCCCAGGCCCTGTAGAGCATGTGGCACTGGGGGTCGAGCCCGGGTCCTTGTGCTTGGCAGGCAAGCACTTAGACTGCCGAGCTATCTCTCTGACTCCTAAAACCATTTTCTTTGAATCCAAGGCAGACACTTCCCTGGAGATCAGAGCTCTTGGGGTTCATAGGCTGGCTTTGTCCTCTCCTCTGCCTAGGCCCTGCTTCTTAGGTGGAGTCCTCCCACCTGTGGACCAGGGAGGCTAAGCACAACACAGAGGCCAGGATAATGAGGTGCCAGAGTTTGGTTTATTGGCTCATCCAGTGGCAAAGGTCCAATGGGCAGCCTCTACTGAGGAATCAGGAGCCCCTGGTTCCTGCATTTCTCTCCCTCATAAGTGCCTCCTGGCCTGACTGAAACCATGGCAGTAGCGGGGACAGGGTATGGGGCTGAGCTGGATGCTGATAGGGGTCTGCTTGGCACAGGAAGGGGACCCTGGGCAAGGAAGGATGAGCCAGCTCGGCAGGGCTTCTATGGTGGGCCCCAGGAGTGGAAGAGTCCAGCCCAGGACCAGCCAGGGTGGGACCAGGTGAGGGGACAGTGATCAAGGACACAGGGGCAGGTGACAGGTGCCTTGGAGCCCCACACTGTGATGGGCTGGGTTCCTCTGAGGCTCAGAGACTAGCAGGAAGGGTCAAGAGAGGAAATGGTCAGGCCTGAGAGTGGGAGGAGGTGATCCCTGAGGGAGAGTGCTTCACCCAAACTCCCTACAAACTAGCCCCAGTAAGAAGCACACACACACACACACACACACACACACACACACACACACACCGAAGCCCCATCTCTCTAACAGAGACAGAAAGCAGCCCCCAGCTGCATCCCTTGGGGGGCATCCTGCTCATTTAAACCTACATGAACCCCATGTCCTGCACCGGTAGCTGCCCCAGTTCCCAAGGCCTGTACTCCGTTTGCTCCCTTTCTCCTGGTGTCTTCAGGCCCCTCCTTGCCCATCTGTGCTGTCCCTGACCCCTGGGGAGAGCAGCAAGCATGTCAGGGCTCAGAAAAGAGCTGGCCACGGTCTTCAGCAAGGCACTGGGTGAGCGGCAGGGCTGGAGTAGGGAGAGGAGTAGCCAGGCTGGGGAGCCCCCATCTCCCTGGGGGCTCAGTCTGAGAGCCTCAGCCAGACTCTGCCATCAACCTCTATAGCTGGGCCTCTCTCCTCTTTTCCTGGCCCCTTCCAGGGAAGTGACCACTGGGTGGGGCCCAGGGCCAAGACACCTGGGCTAGTGGCACAGTGTAGAACAGGGGCTGGGGCTGTGCCTGGCCCCAGCCCGAGGCTTCCTCTGCACTCTGCACACTGCCCCTGCACTGAGGACATCAGGCAGAGTCGCCCCCACCAGTGCTCTTTTTCTTGGGCCGGGTCTTCAATGTCTTGGAAGCCAGTGGCTGTGGAGGGAAAGAGAGAGCAGGGGAGACAGGACTCACACTGCCCACCCCTTTTCCCCCAGCTTGGCCCATATTCTCACCTCAGCTTTGGGCACTTTTTTGATGGATTTGACTCTCTTGGGGGCCTTGTCTCCCATGTCATCCTCTGAGGCCTCTGTCCGGGAATCTGCCTGGTTTGTGGTGGACCTTAAACTCAGGGCAGCATCATCACCTAGTTGAGAGAAGGAAAAGAAAATGGGGATCCAGGGCTCTCTTTCACCTGCCCTCCTTGGCCCTGTGCCTCTGCATACCCTGAGGCTCACGTGTACCTAAGTCCTCAATGGTGTCCAGGAGGCCACCAGGGCCAGCGCGGAGGCGGCTGTCTGGCCCCTGCAGGGGCAGTGCATCCTCGTCCCGGATCAGCGTCAGGTCCTGCATACTGAAGCTCCGGAGCTTCTCTGACAGCACCCCCTGGCCCTAGGGTCACCACCACACAACAAGAGGGTGGGGGCGGGATGGAGACAGAGGTCACTGCTGTGCTGGCAGCAGCCCCAGGGCCAAGTGTTTTATGTGCACTAAGCCTCACACAGGCTAGGGCCATACTTTCCGCTTGGTCAGAGGAGGAAATGGGCCAGAGAATGACCAGATAGTGGAAGAGACTCAGCTGGACAGTGGCAGAGACAGGGCTGGAACCCTGAGCTGCACAAACCCAAAGCCTCCACAGCTGAGGATGGGGGATGCCAAGTGGGTGCCCTGGGAGCCCAGGCCTACCCCGTCTCACCTTGGCAGCAGCTGTGACGGCAGCATTGGCGGCCAGGTTCAGGCCCCTCTTGCCCACCCTCATCATGGTCTCATAGCTCTTGTCTCGAGCCTGTGTGATGTACTCGTCGATTTCCTGAGGGGTTGGGAAGGATGGGGAGGTGAGAGGCAGGCTATCCTACCTTTGTTCACACTTGCACAGAGGTACTGGCTGCTCCAGGAAGGAGGCCAGGGTCCTGCCACATCACCCATGACTGTCTCGCTACAGGCAGACTGGGAAGCAAGCTGAGAGCAGGGCAAACCTTCTCCTTGTTGGACAACGTTGGGTGCACGAACTTTCGGTAGAGCACACTGGAGCCCTTGGTGTAAGGGGACAGCAGCCATATCACAAAGGCGATCTTGAGCTCAAAGTAGAAGGGGAACCTGTTGGGGGGAAAGGAAAGCAGAGAGGACTCACAGTGCACTGGCTGAGCAACACTGACTCCTCCCTTGACCATGGTTGACCCTTTATGTCATCACATGCTGGGGTCATGATGTAGCTCCCATGGAAACTGTGAGGCTCAGCCGAGACTTTAGGAACAAAGGCAAAAAGTGATTCCAGCAGGAAATCTGGGTGGCTGCATTTTCCTCACCTGTATCCCTATGTCCTGGCCCTCTTGCTCCTACCAAGGACCCCCATTCCTTGGCCCTGGGGTTAGAACAAGGTGAGCTCCCTAAGCGTCCAGGTCCACGTCAGCTCCTCACCCCGCCCCCCCCATGTCCTGCCCTCCCTCTGAGAGGAATGGAATAGGATCTGGATTCAAACCCCTATTGTTGTGACATGCTCCTTGATTTTATTTAAATTGAAATTGTTTATATTGGGGATTTAACCCAAGGTCTTTACATTGAGTTATATACCACGTGCTTTTGAGACAGGATCTTGCTAAGATGCACAGGAATGCACCACTCTGCCCAGCTACAGAAATGTTTTTGAGATGGCTTCTCAGCATGTTATGCAGGCTAGGCTTCCATGCCAAGGTGCTGGGATCCTCTTGCCTTTGTCCCCTAGAAAGCTGGGACTATAGGTATGTGAAGCCACGCCTGGGGCCCTGGCTTCTAAGGACTGCTCTCTACTCCCACAGCTGTTTCTGCTCGCGCAACACAACTCCTTCAGGTCTCCTTCATCCTCACAAGGAACCTTACCAGAGCCCTCTCCTTTGCTTGTGTCAAGGCACTCTAGACTCAATGCCCTTTAACTCATCTCTTTCCCAACCACCTTCTTCTGCTAAAACTATCATTCTCACATACACGGGCTTTGTTGCACTGATCCCCTCCAGAAAACTCTCCTCTTTATTTCTAGTGCATGGTTACTAGTCCTGTTTTCCAAGAGGAATTTGCTCATTCAGCAAACATTTTTGAGCAGCTGCTATGAACATGCAGCTGATACAGACAATCTCCTGTCCTCCAAGTACTCATACATACATGGTTGGCAGTTCCTGGGAAACGCCTTGGGAACACAAGCACCCAAGGTCTATAGAATTGAATAAAGTTTTCACAAATAGGGAAACTGTGCTCTAGACAGCCAGGAGGCAAGGTGGCAGTAAGTAGAGCAGAAGGAGGCCTCTGAATGCTGTCACGGTGCTTTGGGTGCCACCAGAAGGAATGAAGAGTTTATCTGTTTTTATTCTACTGATTAAGTCAAGTAGGAGTCTAAGGGATTGCCAGGAGTGAAGGGCCTGTGCCCTAGGGGCCATCTTCCATCTCTCTGTCTGGTTAGCAAGGCAGAGGTCTGGGCCTTGAGAGGCTGGAGGGAAGACGGAGCTCACCAAGACAGCACGATGTCTGTGAGTGTCTCAGCCGTGGTAAAGAAGGCAAAGACGATCCAATACATCATCCATTTCACCTGAGGGGGACAGAGGGTAGTGTCAGTTGGGGCCTAGGGCCAAGAGGAAGAACACCCAGGACCCTTCTTCTGTCTGATGACACATTGGTGGGAGGGGGTGTAGAAGAAGGGACACCCAGAGCCCAGTTTGTGGCTCACACTAAGGCTGGGAGAAAGCAATACCCTGGAAGTTCCTTTTATCAGGATTTTATGCATGTGTGGTAGTGGGAATTGAACCCAGGGTCCTAGTACTGAGCTATGTCTCTACCCCTTTTATTTTTTTAGATTTTGAGACAGGGTCTTGCTAATTTGCCCAGGCTGTCTTTGAACTTTTTTTTTTTTTTTTTTTTGTACCAGGGATCAAACCCAGTTCCTTGCACTTGCCAGGCAAGTTCTTATGCTGCTGAGCTATCTCACCAGTCCTGTCCTTGAACTTTTTTTCATGTATTTAGTACAAGCTCTACAGGGTCTCACTACATAGATCAGACTTGTAGTGATTCTCCTGTTTTCAGCCTCCCAAGTGCTGGGATTACATGTGTGCCACCGCGCCCAGTCTTAATCACCATCTTAGTGTGCCCAGCATAGCATGCCAGGGATTGAACCCTGGCCCCTGCACTCTGCCTAAGCAGGCACTTTAGTCCCTAAGCTATCTGGCCAGCCTTCTGTACTTGAACTTTGTCCTCCAGCTTCAACCTCCCAAGTGTCTGGGATTACGGGCACACATGACTACACGTAGCCTCGGGGTGTTGACAGTAGCTAATAGTGCTGGCACTAAGTCATCCCATCTGTTGTGTGACCCACTGACGTCTGTCTCTGTCATGTGGGTTGGGTAGGGGCTTTGGGTCAGTCACTCACATATTCCTTCACGTTTTTGGTCTTCACGGCCTTATAGGAAGAATAGGCTGGGTACAGGGTGCCAAAGATGAGCCTAAGGAGGGAGGCATGGTTATTGGGTACCTCGCCCACCCCACTCTGCACCAGCCCCTGAGTAGGTAAGGGGCTGGCCCCCAAAGAGCCACAGCAGGGGAGAGGCACATACATTGGATTGCCTGCCCTTTCCTCTCCATTGTCTACTTCTCTAGCACTTGCTAGAGATCAGAGGGTCCCAAGTGTCCCTTCCAACTACAATCCTTAGCTATGCACTAGCATGTCCTGGAAGGGGTGGTGGTAGATAACCTGTCACTGCTCCAAACGTGCCTTCCTTATTGGCTTTATGCCCATTTAACTTGTCTACCCTTACTGGGTGCCTCCTTGTCTCAGAGCCAAGCTGGGTGGGGCCAGCTCCAAAAAGGAACCTGATCCCACCTGAGAGGCTTCACTTGGCAGTTAGAGGCACCACTATGGTACTGGGCACCAGAAGACACAAGGGTAGGAGGCCCTGGTAACACCCTGGGGATGGACGGGGCTCTGGGCGGGCCCTGGCCTAAAGGTTCCAGCTGGTAATCCCATTACTGACCACAGACAGGCCACAAGGAGGAGTGGGAAAAGATTGGCCCCCCTTAGGGAGCTTGCCCAGGATAGAGAGGAGAAACCACCCACAGGCCCTAAAGAAATCTAGGAAACCAGGACACCAGCTCAGAACAGTGGATGGAAAGGCAACAGGGCGGGCTGGGCAGCAGCCCCAGGGAGGAAGCTGAGGTGTAGGGTCCTGAGCTTAGGGCAAGGCTGGCTCTGAGGCTCCCTCGCTGCCTGTTCAGATGGAGTGGCGGGTAGAATCCTCAAGGATGAAGTGTGTTTCTCCCACAGTTTAGAGAAGCCAGGGACGGAGCTCCACAATGTGGCTTGCAGTCGGGAATGAAGCTCCCCCGCCATGGCTTTCACAATCCCAGGCTGAACACACACATCCCCTCCCTGTTGCCACTGCACTTAGTCCTCTCTGCATCTCTGGTTTCCGATGGATGTCTGACTGAAATCCCTAGCACCTTAGCGGCAGGTGTTCTGGCCCCTGGCCCCATGTCCCCTGACAATCAGCAGAAGTGCGAGGGAGAAGGGCCTGATGGAAATCAGCCCAGCTCTGCGCTACAGCAGGAGGAGGCCTTCGTTCCCCCTGTGCTCCCTAGTCCAAACCCTCTCCTCTCCCTTGGGAAGGTGGGCCAGACCTGAGGTTCCTGCAGCCCAGATCTGCGAGGTCGGAAGAGCCCACCTCCCCTATAAGCCAGCAGCTGCCCAGCCCCTAGGATGGAGGGCCAGAAGCAGGGGCAGTCAAAATAAAAGGAGTTTACGATGAATAACGTGCGTGAGGTCCCCGGGAAGCCAGGCCCTTCTAGCCTTGGGTCCCCGCACTCTTCCTGGGAACCGGGGCAGGCACGAAGCGCTGCTGTAGGTGACTTGCAGCTGGGAGCCCCCCCCCCATTACTGTCCCCATCACCCCCGCCGCAGGCTCTGCACTCACACCACCAGGCGAGAGATGATCCAGGACACCATGGCGGGGCGGTGAGGCACGGTGCGGGGCGGACCCGGTCCGGCAAGGATGCAGCTGCCCGAGGCCGAGGCTGCGGTAGCGGCAGCGGCCGCCGCGGGGGCAGCGAGCTTCGAGCTGCCGCGTTAAAGGGGAGGTCCCTGCCGCAGCGACGGGCCGTGGGCGGTGGCGGTTCTTAAAGGGGAGGCCACAGGGCCTTGCCGCCCCACCAGCACCTGCTGCGGCTGGGCATGCGCCTTCGCCCTCTGTGCGCTGTCCTCCTCTAGGTGCCGATTCATCTTTCTCAGGCTTCCAGTCCTTGGGCGGAGATCCTGGTGGCCTCCGGTCACGTCCCGACATTGGTCCTAGCCACCTCCTGCTCTGTCTACATCAAGCTTAAGTCTCAAGTATCCCATGAGGAGTTAGAGCGATGATTTGTTGAGCCAGACCCTTTGCTAAGAGCTTGCATTATTGCATTGAATCCTAGCCACCCATCCTGTAAGGTGGTGTGTTATAATTACTCTTATCTCAGAAATAAAGACATGTAATATTTAAGGATGTTAAATAATTAGCACATCACAAAACCACTAGGTCATACTCCAGGAAGTCTGAAAAGGCTGGATCCCTGATTAGCAAAATCCTCTCCCACTGCAGGCCTGTAAAAAACATTCACCTGAAGTCCACCCTGCCCTTTCTCTTCAATCAACCCCCAGCGTAAAGACAGGCAATTTTTTTTTTTTTTTTTTTTTTTTGGTTGTCAATAAACTGCAGGGGAACATGACAGGGTCCCAGAAGGCGCAGGGTCTCATTTCCAATAGTGAGGCTGGAACACAAATAGCAGAAAGTAACAGGGCTCTGTCCCCACCCCCACTAGCCAGCACTAGTGGCAGGGGCTGCCCTCATTCTGTGACATTTATATCCAGAATGTAGGCTGGCCTGCCTCCTCATTTCCACCAAAGCAGCCAAGCACCAACCTCCACCCCCACCACGCTCCTTTCCTGCCCCACTTTTAAGCTGCTGCGTACCTCTACCTTTTATGTCGAGGGAGGTGTCACCCTTCTGGGATCACAGCACCAACCTGTGCCCCCCTGGGCAGGGCAGACCTGCTCAGCTCTGCACTTCAGTGTTATGGTCGTATTCAAACTCAGCACCCTCAACCCACACAATGGTCTACTTCCAAACCTCACAAGTGTATTTCCAGGTTCAAGTGCTTTGGAAGATGTTTTCCACCAGGCTCCACAGCAGCAGCCCCTATGACCTTTGTGTGTGTGTGTGTGTGTGTGTGTGTGTGTGTGTGTGTGTGTGGTACTGGGAATCAAACTCGGGCCCTTACACTTGCCAGGCAGGCACTTATGCCACTGGGCTATCTCACCCCCCTCCCCGTTTTTTGTAAACAAAAGCTTTCCCCAAAGGCCTCTTCTAACTGGAAGGCAGTCTGTTCTCAACAATCAACACTTTGCAATTGTTGCTGATAAGGAAAAACCTGTTTGTCCTTATTCCACAGCCTGACATAGATCTAGAGCTACAATTTTCATAACACTCAGGGCTCCTGCTTTGAGGAAATCCACTAAGTGCCCCAAACCTTGCTCTGGCTAGACAACATGGCCCCATCCCCCAGACTGCCCCCAGAAGGTGGTCTTCACCTATCCCACCCTGTCACAGAGCACAAGGTATGGGAACCATTTTGACATCCATCTTCTCAACCAGTGATGATGAACATTTTAGAGCTTTCAGTGATAATAAACAGGTTGCTACGGCGTGTTTGCCATAGGTCCACCACTACTGCTCTAAACCATATTGACTTCATCTCGGAACTTTCTCTTCTTCCAACTGGGTATAATTCAGAAAGTAAAGAGTAATGATCAGGTGTAGCGTAGTAATGAAGACTTGGAAATGAATCTCTCCTTTAACTCAGCCTTCAAAGTGACCCTGATTTTAGAAGGGCTGGCACAGGAAGAACATAGTTCACTCCAAACAGATTTGTTAGATTTTTAATAAGAACATGGAAATCCCAATCAGCCCTTCAACAAAATTAAAATACAGAAAGTGAAATTAAAAGTATTCTACAGTAAATGACTTTTATTTAAAAAAAAGTGTGAACATATAAACAAGCCTGGAGGGCACTACAGTACAGCTGGAAAGAGATAATTTCCCAATGTACCTATGGGCCAACGAATTTCATCATTTTCAAATAAATTCTTAATAAAAACTCCACTGAGTTGGAAAGTTTTGCTGAAAATATTTCTTGACAAAAACCCAAAAACATCATGTTGGAAATTAAACTTTGTGTTTAGAAACATCTGAGGAGTCCAAGGAACGCTGGTAAAAGGGGAAGATGGCTCCTGGAGTCACCGGTGTGTGTATGAGGGCAACACACCACAGCTTGGACAAGACTGAGTTCTGAGATGACTGTTCCCTCAAGAGGACATTAAGAGAGGACGGGAGACAGGATGGGACTAAAAGAATTTTAAAAAGCCAATTCTTTTAAATTCTGCTTTGGCTGAATTTGTGCTATGATGGGCAGCTGATTTTTGAAAATCATATTTAAGTTTTAGCGAAAGGAAGACTAAATGTAATGTGCCTTTCCTTATAATCCAGGAAAACAACTGTGGCATTTCAAAAATTCTAAAAATATCTACTTTCATGAAATAGTTACTATTTCACTACAAACCTATTTTTCACTAAATACACACATTTCCTAATCCTGGAGCCCCCTGGGAAGCAGTGGACTCTCCTGGTCCTGAGACTCCAGTGCTCGGTAAGCCACGTGGGTAGGGCTGCACTGGCTCTCCCAGTGCTGTCAGAGACCTGTGCAGACACCAACAGGCTTCCACCAGGCGTGTAAGCAATCACCTGCTTGTACCAGCTGTGGGATTTCCTCTAGCTCCAAACACACTCCCACTTAATTAGGCACGAGAGGAAGAGGAAAGAAAGGGTGCCCATGTTTCTGGTTTCCATGATATCGAATCGGGAAAATGTGCAGGAAAGCCTGTGATGTCCAGGCAATCAGATTCCTGGAGGCTGCAGGGCAGGGAGGCAGCACCCTGGGCTGGAGTCTGAAAGTGTGTGAGCAGTGCAGCCTTCCTGTGTTGGCCTTCAGTGCTGCAGCAGCACCTAGAGTAGCTGGAGAGTCTGTAATACTGACCACACCGGCTCCAGGCCGAGGGCCACTGCTTGCAACGAGAACCCTGCCAGTCCCTTTGAGTGTCTTGAGTGAAAGACCTGCTTCGTGGGGAAGCTTGGGATTTCTCCGTTCCTATGACCGTGCCAGTTTGGATTCATGAGCCTTGAGGGTGCCAACAGCATCTTTCACTGCGTGGTAAATGATGTTCTTCACCTGCAGGGTAATCAGCACCATCAGTCCATGGCATCTGTGTGCCATGTTCCAAAAACACAAATGTACGTTCCACCCTGACTTGGCCTACTGGTTAGTGAGGCAATCCCAACGATGACTATATGCTTTCCAAATCAGTCCTTAAGGTGATTTACAGTTATGTAGCTTATGCAGCCCATTTCCAAGAAGCAACAATGAAATCACTGGAAAGGTTATTCACTCACTGTGGTCTGGGTGTTTACCATGTTCTTTGCTTGTCCCTAAGCTCTCTATATGTACTTTCATTTAATCTTTGCCATATCTTTATGAGGTTGAGTCAATTATCCATCCCACCTCCCTTCCATGGTGCTGGAAATCGAACCCAGAGCCCTAGCAAGCATTCTACATCCTCAGCACTTTTTTTTTTTCTCTCTCTCTCTCTTTTTTTTTTTTTCCTGGTACCAGGGATTGAACTTAAGACCCTGTTTGCCAAGCAGGTGTTTATTCTACTGAGCTATCTCCCCAGCACCTGTCAGGCCTTTTTTGAGACATGGTTTCACTAAACTGCTCAGGCTGTCCTTGAACTAGCAATCATCCTGCCACAGCCTCATAAGTAGCTTGTATAACAGGAATGCACCACCACACCTGGTTTATCATCTCCATTTTTCAAAGTGGGGAAACCAAGCTTCCATGGCCAAGAACTTTGCTGAAGATGCTACTGCTAGTAAGGATGAAATAAACAATGAAAGGTAAGATTATGAGATATTTTTCCCACTGTGCTTATATGTGTTAACTTCTTTGAAAAAAGAATAGTACACAGGAAGCTGAAAGCCATAGTAAATTATAAAAATAAAACCAAAAGGCTAGACATTTTTTTTTTTTTTTTTTTTGGCGGAACTGGGGATTGAACTCAGACCCTTGTGCTTGCTAGGGAAGCGCTTAATCCACTGAGCCATCTCCCCGGCCCCTAGGCTAGACATTTTTTAAAAGGACTTAACAACTGTGGTTATTTTTAGGAAGAGAAAGTAGGGAAACAGGAGATCTTCAGCAATGTAGCTATGTATGCATGCATGTTATGTATGTATGTGATGCTTTATTTCATAACACACACGGAAACTCAAATCTGCTTTATATAGTTTCTATTAATCTTTTTTTTTTTTTTTGGTATTACTTCAGCAAATATTCATTGAATACCTACCATGTGTCAGACATTATGCTTGGGAAAACCTGAATGAAACAGCAAAATTCCTGCCTTCATAGACTTCAAATAGTTTTACCTTTTAGTAGGAGTAGTCAATAAACAAAATAAAATAAACAGATGGTACAAAGTACCACAGAAATGGCCAGCCAGGCATGTACCAAATGGCCAGCCAGGCATGGTGGTTCATGCGTGCAATCTCAGTACTCCAGAGGATGAGGTAGGAGGATCACTGTGAGTTAGAGGTCTTCCTTAGCTACAAAGTAAATTCAAGGCCAGCCTGAACTACAGAGAGTGACTTTGTCTCAAAAAAAAATCAAAATGAAACAAAAACCCCAAAACAGTAAACAAGGCTTGGGAGTGCTATAGCAGGAGTTGATATTATTCTAAACAGATGACATGTTACAAGTAGAGACTGAAAGGAGGTGGTATGTGAAATATGTATGCCTCAGTATTTGCATTATAATACCAACATGATTATACTTTATACAAAAACTATGGTTGATGCCTGCTTAGGCAAGCGCAGGGACCAGGATTCTTCTGGCACCATATGCCAGTGCTGGCTTGTGCTGGCCCCACCCCGGGCTTACAGAGACTGAGTCCAGGTGTGGTGGCCCATGCCTGTAATTCCAGCACTGAGGAGGCTAAAAACAGGAAAACTGCTACTAATTTGAGCTGCGTAGTGAGACCCTGTACAAAATACATAGAAAAAAAAAAAAAAAGTAAAACACAAAACACTATGGTTGACTATCGCCTCCACCAGCTGGCCCCAAGAGTCCAAGTTGGCGCCTCTACTAAAGCTGACGCCCCAGCGCTGCAGCAGGCTGCAGGTGCCCTCCGACATGGCCGGCACCTGCCCTGGCCCTGCTGCCCCAGCCCAGCAAGCCCAGGCTCTAGGGCGCCATGCTCCCTGGGCCAGGCCCCAACATTAATGGGGCCAGAAGCAACTGCCACGGCTGCTGCCACCTGCCCAGGAGCCGCCCAAGCCCATTTGCTGAGATACTATTTTTAAGTTTATAATTCTTTTAGGAGCCAGTATGTAGACTAGAATATTTAATAAGCTAGTAAAAGCATATATTCATATAAATAAAATGTATATTTCCTTTTTAAATTGCTATGGAGTAACAGAATAAAGATTTCTAAACACTTGTAAAAAATAATAAATACGCATTTGAAAAAAAAAAAAAACACTTTAGAGAAAAAGGAGGGCCGCAATGAAAGCCACCATTTTGGCTCTAGCCTTTCAAGGTCAATTAAGACTCAGGACATAGGAGATCTTGTAATTTAATGTCATGTAACTCAGTAGTGTCCCAAATTTTCTGATCAAGGAGATTATGGGGCCAAAGAGGAAAGTGATTGATGATGTAGAGTGTGCCTAAGGAGAGTCTCATGGAGAGAAAACATTCTCTCAGGTTTTCACAGGGAGCACATTGGCCAAGCAATAGCCATGACTCATCCACATGGCTGACACGGACAAAGGATCTACAATCTGAAGTACAGGATGTCAGGATAAATCCTGATGGGATTTGACTGACCTCATCAGAACCAAAAGCTACAACACTTGTTGCATAGGTCTTGCTTTATCTTGGTCTTAATCATCCAGCAGAAAAGTTTAAATACAAAGTACAAGAAGTAAAGCCATGTTGTTATGTTGAGCTGTACGGGACTCAAGTCAACAATCTGACATTGCCAGTAAGTCAGAAGACCCAATACTATTATGGATTACTGGACTCTTTTAGAATATTTTGCTGCATTATCACATCTATAATATGCAAATGATGGAACTAAACAAAAAAGGGGATACAGAGGAATGTCCATTTTGTATCTGTGTATTCAAAGTTGTTAGGATAGATATATAGTTACATTCTCTTAATG